CTGAAACGCACGTCAGTCGACCACTGTGTCTGTTGGTGCATGTGTTTGTCAGTGTTTATCCTTTGACCTGTTCAATCTTACAACTCCTCTTCTGAGGATTCAGGTGAGGAGAGGAGCAACCGGGCACTGGAGCGAGGAAGAGAAGATGCAGACAACGGGGAGACTGGAGCTGAACAGGACCTTGCAGCTTTCCTACAGGCCTTTCCACTTAATCTGACTGGCCAGCCACCAACCAAGAAGCAGATGGCCGATGCTGGCTTTCCTACTGACACAGTCTTCTATGACAGGTGGAGGGCTCTTCAGTATGGCCAACGGGAGAAACATCTCCTGTGTAAGTGACAATACTTTCCTCCACAATCCAAAGTAATGCATAGAACTCCCAAGTGTGGACAAGAACTCGAAATTGAATGTTCTGTGTTTGAAAGCCAAATGTTCAAGACATCCACGTGTTGTGTATAATATTTTGTCTTATGGATACTGATCACCTAGACCTTGAATACCCAACCTTGAATATGTGTAATTGTTCAGTGTTTTGTATTTGTCCTTTGTTTTACCCTTTGTACTAAAAGATGAAAATTGTCTATAAATATAGAGTTATGAGTTTTGTCTGACAGTGATCACATGGACAGTAGCCTCAAGACAGGATTTTTATAACTAATTTTATTTCAGGCTAACACTGAGATCTCCCCTCTGTGTTCCATGTAATGTCCATCATAGTGAAAGAGGGAAAGAAGTGGTGCTCTTACATCCCAGCACAAACAATAGATGTGTTATACATGTTTTGTTGTGGTTAATGACTCCTCTGTGTGTGACAGTCCAGCCTCAGATTAGGCAAAATCAGTAGTCTTCTTCTTCTGTGTTGTAAACTTTCTCTCTTTTTCTCACCGCAGCGTCCACCCTCTGCTGTGTTAAGTCAAGTGATGATACTGCTCTAAGTGACCAACATCATCCAGGAGAAGGCAAAACTCATGTGTATTCCCATCTACAAGAAAGACCGAGGACACATCACCAAACCATCCAGAACTACACAGAAGCCGAGAGACTGAATCAATTTCAAAACGTCAAACACAGGCTGACAATTACAGTCAGTGTGTGGCTGATGGGTCTGGCATTAGTGCCTTAGTTTGTCATAACAAAGCTGACTCCAGCCCATCACTTAACAGCAACATGGTGGACTCATAATTTATCGGTCATTATGTTTGTGACCTGTGGGAACAAGGACATGTTTGAACACAGTTGTTTGCTAAAATACTGTGAGCGACAAGCGTTTTATTAGATTTTTTAAAATTTTATCATAATCTTAATCTATTTTTCTATTTATACAATGCAAGACCTTTTGTACTGTCACTGCTCCTACAATTTGATGGAAATGAAAACTTTTCTTACAAAAACTCTTTGCAGCCGTTTCATTTAACTGTAATTTCAGTTGTCTGACTGTAGTCCACATTTCCAGGCATCATATTGTTACTATTTTCTGTAGGTTTTTGCTCCCAACTGACAACCTCTAACCTGCAGAGAAGATGAGAAGTTCTGATGACATGATTACTAAGTTTCTATATAGTTTGACCTTTCACCTCCAGGAGGTGAGGCAGCATGTGTTAATGTCCCAGTTCCACATATCTTACAGCCCCTGCAGCACAGGCACAACAAAATATATAAAATAAATAAATATATACAGATATAAAATAATTGATAATGTATACAGATATAAAATATCTACAGATTTAAAATATACATAAGTACAATATATACAGATATAAAATATATCACTCCACTCAGCAATGCTTAACTACAAATCCTCAATTGGATGGGAACCTAGACAATTTCCCCTCCCCTTGGTCCGTGTGCACGCTGCCCCTCCTCTTCTATTCAGTAAAATGTTTCCATTTCTGATCCCTGCTTTTCCGCTGCATCCGTCATGATCATCAGGCACTCAGGGTCGGTGTCTGATTCAAAGGCTTGGGCACGTCTCCTCATCTTTCTGACCCTTGTCCTTCTTTCCTTTGCTTTTCTTCCCTCCCTGCTGCTCCGAAAAGCCGCCTTCTCATCTTCATTAACTCCTTCTCTCCTTCAGAGAGCTCAGACACAGAGTACATGCTGTCAGCATACATTGGTTCCTCACCCCCAGAGTCTGAGGTGGAGGCAGGATGCGGGTCCACCGTTTCCTCCATGAGGGCTTTCATCCTCAGGCTGCAAACCTCCATGGCCTCCTTAATGAACGGAAGAGCACAGTCATATTTTTCTGCCATCGCCATGTCATGGCACATGGCAGCCACAACCTGACCAAACTCATCCTTGGACAGCTGTCTCCGTGCCTTGGAAGGAGGAAATGGTTTATAAATTCACTGTCACATACAGATGACAAACAGAGGGTGAACATTAGTCTTCAAAATGTTATGTTTGTTTCATTTTTTAGCATTAAAAAGCCACCTGGGGTGGATCTGACATGACACTTCCACTTCCAGAACCATTATGCTTTCAATTACAGCTTAAATATTTAGTAATGTTCCTTCCAAAAGCAAGTCTGTGAATATTCTCCATCATCCAGTTCATAGTTATCTCAAGGAAATCAATTAAATGCAACTGGACTTGGTTATAAGTCTTTGATTCTGATACAAGTTTCATCGTCATCATCATATATGATGACAAGTTTCGGGTCTGATATCAAAGGCCAAAGCTTCGACATGTTTGCTGGACCCCATGCCAACTCCAAGGCCTACCTCCCTGCCCTCTGCCCTTTCATCACTGACATAATAAACTCCATCCTAGCATCTGGTGTTGTTTCCCCCAGTTTCAAAACTGCTTCCATCACTCCCATCTTAAAGAAGCCTGGTCTGGACCCTGATGATCTCAGCAACTTCCAGCCGATCTCCAACCTGCCTTTCCTCATCAAGGTTCTGGATAAAGCAGTGGCTGCCCAGCTTCACCAACATCTGTCTGACCATGAGCTCTACGAACCCCTGCAATTCAATTCAATTCAATTTAATTCAATTTTATTTGTATAGCGCCAATTCATAATAGAAGTTATCTCAGGACACTTTTCAAATAGAGCAGGTCTAGACCGAACTCTTTAACATTAATTACAGAGACCCAACAGTACCACCATGAGCAAGCACCTGGCGACAAGGGCAAGGAAAAACTGCCTGTTAAAAGGCAGAAACCTAGGACAGATCCTCCGGCTCTAGGTGGGTGGTTAATGCCATCTAGAGTAACTATATCTTTAGACAGTGAGTCTCTAAGGTTTTTGGGGCCAAGAACAAGAATTTCGTTTTTTTCTGAGTTTAACATCAGAAAATTGCAGGTCATCCAGGATTTTATGTCCTTAAGACATGTTTGTAATTTAGATAATTGATTAATTTCATTGGGCTTGATCGATAGATATAACTGCGTATCATCTGCATAACAGTGAAAGTTAATGGAGTGATTCCTAATAATGTTGCCTAAAGGGAGCATATATAAAGTAAATAGTATTGGTCCAAGTACAGAACCTTGTGGAACTCCATGACTAACTGTAGTATTTATTGAAGATTCATCGTTAACATGTACAAACTGCGAGCGATCTGATAAATATGACTTAAACCAGCTTAGTGCGGTTCCTTTAATGCCAATTTGATGCTCAAGTCTCTCTAAAAGAATATTATGGTCAATGGTGTCAAATGCAGCACTAAGATCTAATAATACAAGTACAGAGACAAGTCCATTGTCAGAAGCAGTCAGAAGGTCATTATTAACTTTAACCAGAGCTGTCTCTGTGCTATGATGAACACTAAATCCTGACTGAAAATCCTCAAATAAACTATTGTTATGCAGAAATTCACACAACTCTTTGGCGACTACTTTCTCCAGAATCTTAGAGAGGAGGGGGAGGTTAGAAATCGGTCTTTAGTTGGCTAAAACCCCTGGGTCAAGAGTGGACTTTTTAAGAAGGGGTTTAATTACAGCTACTTTAAAGGACTGTGGTACATATCCTGATAATAAAGAAAGATTAATCATATCCAGTAAAGAAGTGCCAATTAAGGGAACAACTTCTTTAAGCAGCCTAGTTGGGATCGGGTCTAATCGACAGGTTGATGGCTTCAATGAAGAAATGATTGAAGTTAACTGATGAAGATCGATAGCAGAAAAACAGTCTAAATATATATCTAAGTTTACATTGACAGAAGTCCCTGAACTTGGAGAGCCACTGGTAACTGTTGATGGCAGTTGGTGATTAATTTTTTCTCTAATAGTAATAATTTTATTATAGAAGAAGCTCATGAAGTCATTGCTACTTAAGTTTATGGGGATATGTGGCTCAATAGAGCTGTGACTCTCTGTCAGCCTGGCTACAGTGCTGAAGAGGAACCTAGGGTTATTCTTATTTTCTTCTTCTTATTAGTGCTGAGTAATAGGCTCCTCTGGCATTACGGAGGGCCTTTCTATAAATTTTAAGATTATCTTGCCAATTTGAGCGATATTCTGATCATTTGGAAGAGCGCCATTTCCTTTCAGATTTTCTAGCTATTTGTTTTAACTGGCGGGTTTGGTGGTTATACCAAGGTGCTAGTCTCCTATGTTTTAATAATTTCCTTTTTATAGGAGCGATAGAGTCTAATGTTGATCGTAGTGAGCCTGTAGCACTATCGACAAGATTATCAATTTCAGAGGGACTAAAGTCGTTATAGGACTCTGTTAAATTCAGACATGGCATTGAATTAAACACTGAAGGAATCCCCTCCTTAAATTTAGCTACAGCACTGTCAGATAGACATCTGCTGTAGGACGTTTTGCCTAATGGCTTATAATCTAATAGTATGAATTCAAAAGTTATTAAATAATGGTCATAGGTAGGAAAGGATTATGTGGGAAGACTATTAAATGTTCAATATCAATGCCATATGATAAAACAAGGTCAAGAGTGTGATTAAAACAATGAGTTGGTTTATTTACACTCTGACAGAAGCCAATTGAGTCTATTAATGATATAAATGCATTACTAAGGCTGTCATTGTCAACATCAGGTGAGTCCTGAACCATCCCTTAGTTATGCTGCTATAGGCCTAGACTATCGGGGGATTTCCCATGGTGCACTGAGCTACTCTCTTCCTCTCTCTTTCTGCACTCATTCATGTCCCTTTCATGCATGTTACTAACTCCACTTCTTCCCCGGAGTTCTTGTGCTTTCTCGTCTCGCAGGTTCTCATGGATCCTGGTGGAGCCTCCTGCCATGGTCCTGCTTGACTGCCATTGCCAATACTGTTGTTGCTGTGCACCTGTCTGTCTGTCTGTCTGTCTGTCTCTCTCTCTCTCTCTCTCTCTCTCTCTCTCTCTCTCACCCCAACTGGTCGAGACAGACGACCACCCACCTAGAGCCGGAGGATCTGTCCTAGGTTTCTGCCTTTTAACAGGCAGTTTTTCCTTGCCCTTGTCGCCAAGTGCTTGCTCATGGTGGTACTGTTGGGTCTCTGTAATTAATGTTAAAGAGTTCGGTCTAGACCTGCTCTATTTGAAAAGTGTCCTGAGATAACTTCTGTTATGAATTGGCGCTATACAAATAAAATTGAATTGAATTGAACATCCACATGAATATTAAAATCACCTACAATAATTACTTTATCTGTTTTAAGGACTAAACTTGATAGAAACTCAAAAATTCAGATCTAAAATCAGAGTACGGTCCAGGAGCGCGGTACACTATAATAAATAGAACTGGCTGCAGTGTTTTCCAGTTTGGGTGAGAAAGACTAAGAACAAGGCTTTCAAATGAATTATAATTTAGCCTACAGCCTACAGAGCACACCACAGCACAGAGATCGCCCTCATCAAAATAACTAGTGACCTTCTCATCGCTGCAGACTCTGGCAAAATCAGTATCCTCATTCTCCTCAACCTCTACACAGCTTTTGACACTGTTTCCCACACAATCCTTCTCAAATCCCTATCCCATGACCTTGGCATAACCGGTACAGCCCTTACATGGTTTCAGTCCTATCTAGCCAACCCTGGACACCTTTCAATCATTCCTCAAAACCCACCTCTTTGCCATGGCCTTTTCCCATCAGTCTTGGCTCAGTCTGTCACTCAGTCTTTCCTTCCCTCTCTCCCTTAATCTGTTCCTTTAACCCCACCCCAAACCCCTGCTAATTCTCATGTAAAGCGCCGTGGGTATTTTGAAAGGCGCTATATAAATACAAGTTATTATTATTATTATTATTATTATGATCGTCATCAACACCACTCAAATTATGCTATGCTATTGTTAAGCTATTTTTTAGATCGAGAGTCATAAGACTTAGACAAAGCACACCCAGATGGTGCTCAATTCTACTGAGCATGGATGGCTCCGGAGATTCATCAGACTCCTTTAGAGTGCATATTCAAAAATACCTTTGATATTTCCCAACAATGAGGGAAAAGTGCACCGGAGGCTTGGCCTGGTGTTGAAGGCAGCATGGACCGACACAAAGGAACCACAGGGAAATTCAATCGAATGCAAATGGACTTGGTTATAAGTCTTCCAAAGACTTTTGGTTCCCCTTAAAAAACCATTACACTTCCACTTTCAGCTCCTGGATTTAGTAATGGTCCTTAGACATGAGTAAGGTTATGCTAACACTTAACCCTGATTGATGGTGGAGGGTGGTGGGTTAGGGTGAAAGGTGCCGCTCACCTGACTTCTCACCCTGGAGTGGATCTGGTTGAATGTCACAGTACTGGTGAGTCCTGAGTCGCTCCACGCCGCATTCAGCAGAAGGCCCAGCTTCCAGTGCTCTTTTCCCTCCATATTATGGAAAACAAGAGGCACTTTTGGGTAGACTCAATCGAGCACTCTGATGAATACCATCTGGGCGTGCCCATATGTGGCCTGGGTCTTGTTACTCTCAATCTAAAATACACATAAAAAATAATGCAACTTGACTTGGTGATGATGATCATATATGATGATGATAAAAGTTGTATGAGAGGTGAAATATCTTCAAAGACATAACCAAGTCTAGTTGTGGTCAACTAAATTTCCTTGCCACAGGTAATCATGTTTAACTCACCCACACCATGTAAAAGCCCTCCTTTTCTTCTCGCTCCCAGACCTCTTTCTTTGTCAGGCTGCAGTACACCACTGGCCAGTGTCCAGTGACGATAAGGTAACCCTGCAGGAGCTCTACGGTGACCAATTGTACCTTTTCCTGCATTTGCTCTGGAAAAGAAAAAAAATTATTAGTCTTTCATTAGGGGCAGCTGTGGCTCAGGAGGCAGAGTGGTCATCCACCAACTGGAAAAGATGGTGGACACGTCGAAGCATACTTGAGCAACCCCAATTGCTCCTGGTGGCATAGCCATCAGTACATGCATGAATGTGTGTGAATGGGGTTAATGCTGACTAGAGTTGGACAGCGCTTTGAATGGTCGCAAGGACGAGGAATCTGTCCATTTTTGTATGGCCCACGAAAGCAAGAAAGGAGCCTCCTCTTCTACCTTTGTCATACTTTGGGATTTCCTAAAGCTCTTGAGACTCTTAATGGGTGTTTTGGGACCACAATTAAAGTTGTGCATTAGCTTGACTGAAATCAAATTTCATATTGCAAACTCGCAAATTACAGTTTGCCTCAGAGGGCTTTACAATCTGTCCTTCACCAAAAGAAAAACCCATCAGTAACAAAGCAAAGGATAAGGAGGATACTTACTCAGCAGAGCAGGGGTCCTCATCGTTGCCACCATGATGAATGTTTGCTCCTCCGAGGCACTGACCAGTTTCCCTGGTCATACACATGACAAACATTGAGCAGACATTAATAGGAAGATTTTTCAGTTTGTTTTGTTTTTTGTCAATGAAATAAGCTTCCCTGAAAGATAGAAAGATTTACTTTATTGATTGCAAACTGGGGAATTGTTTAATGAAAAGACTTTTAAGACTTCCAATTTCAGCTTCCAGATTTAGTAGTGTTCCTTCGAAAAACCATCACCCTTCCAATTTCAGCTTCCAAATTTACTAGGCTTTCTTCCCAAACCATTAGGCATTTACCTTAAAACTTCAACTAATTATTACTTCACTTATGTCTCTTTTTCCTCTTGACCCCCCGCCTATGAACCACCACCTACCCCAGAAAGTCCGACTGCAGTCTCTTGATGCAGTCTTTGGCCAATCCGGGTGGCTGTCAGGAGGTTTTCTTTTCAGTGAAAGAGCTCTACGTGGGAGGGGAAGGTCTTTGCGTTGCTGAGCATATTCTTGACTGATGTTGGTTTATACCCAGCCTTCTTCAATGCAGTTGGCCAACTAGAGAACAAAGAGAACCATTTTAGCAACTTATGAGTCATACACCAACCTGGGCCACTGCAACAAGTAAGTCAAGTCACTGGTGTCGACCTCCATTCAAACTTTATTTGGATAGCTCAAACTGAAAGATTGCCTCAGAGGCATGTACAATCTGTAAATAGAGGGTGACCTCTATCTTCCCCCCCAAAATAAAAACCCTTAACAAGGAATAGAAATGGAAGAAACCTCAGGAGAGGCCACAGAGAAAGGGTGCCTCACCTAGGTGCAGTAGAACTTACACCTGTACTCTTATAGCACATGAACAGAATCAAGTGCACTTGGCACACTGTGTACATTATAAATTGTCACCGACCTTAAGGTCAAGGTCCAGCCTGGACACCATTGGTGGCATTGGGTTTGTTGCCCTCAACTCTCTCAGCCTTTGCACGTAGTGGGCCTGCTTTGCTTGAAACAAAGCACCATCCACTTCCTGTGAGGTATTTCAATAAAGAAAGGTCTTTAATTTCCAAAGCAATGATATACATAGCATAAATCAAATCAAACTTGTATAGACCAAATTCACAAATCACAGTTTGCCTTGGAGGGCTATGGTGAGGACAGTATATAGTGATTATAATGAAATGTATATACACAGAAAACACTACTGTGAGATAACTACTTCTCCAAATGTACTCCCCCGCCAGAGGAGAGTTTTTTTCCTCTCAAGCTAGAAGGCTGAAAGTTTTGTCAGTGATTCTGCACTCTAGTCCTGTGGTGATTTGAAGCCTCTCAGTCTTTTCATCTGCAATACATTTGAATTTTTCCAACAGTTTTAGGCCAATATAGCTCCAAATGAGCTGAACTTGTCAGGAAGCACTTATATTACATGTCCAAACCAGATTCTAGACCCTTAGTCATTTCTAAAGCTACTTCCACCACGACCACACAACTTCCCCATATTTTATTGCAAAAACACCCAACTTTGAGACACTTAATTTATTTAAAAATACATAGTTGGCTAGAGAATGACTGAGACCTGTTTGGCCAAATATGGGTCTATGGGATACAGTCATGACACCTTTGTCTCACACAACAGGGAGTTTTTTAAGTATGACTCCAGCATTCATGCGATTATTATCAAGGATTAATATCATAGTGCCCTATTATCTGACTAGAGCACTACGCTCTCAGAATGCAGGATTACTTACTAAGTCTTAAAAAACAGAATAGGAGCAAAAGCCTTCAGTTATCAAGCTCATCTTTGGTCGAATCATCTTCCAGTTTCAGTCTGGGAGGCAGACACCCTCTTCAACTTTAAGAGTAGATTTAAGACCTTCCTTTTTGACAAAGCTTATAGTTAGGCCTTCTCCTCCTTCTCCTCACTCGGTGGTGGTCACAGGGATGGGATGGTGGAGTGCTTGGGAAAAAAACAAAAACAACAAAAATAATACAAAATAAATAAACATATAAAAACACAAATAACATATCACAAACAAGTGCTATGAAATGACACGGACAGGCCAGGCAATGCATACCTTGTAGGGGACGGTTGGATGCAGGCTCCAAATCCTGAGATTCTTCTTCTTCTTGTATTCCCCCTGGATCTGTAGCTGCTGCAACCCCGCCTGCGACACGCCCCCAAGCACATTTATCTCCATTCTGGATGATGGCCACACAGGAGATGAAGGTCAGGGTCTTCAGGAGCAAACCTCTCTTCATCTCCTTTAGGAGCCTCTGTAACACTGTTTCCATCCGGGGCATGCCGTGCTCTCAGTGCACCTTCAGGTGTATCGAATAGCAGAGGGAGCGCCACTGAATCTCGCCAATGACTTCGAGAGTCTTGGAGGCCACGTGAAGAAGGCTGTGGTATCTGTTAGGTTCTCTAGAGACTTGGACCCCAAAGCAAAGACACAGTCTCTGGTGTGTGGGAACTGAAGATATTTAATAGTTATCCAAAACAAAACCGGAACTGAAACGGGCAGGTGAGGCAAGGAGCTGGCTGGCAGGAGGATGTCTTCAGAAGACTTGCACAGGCAAAACTAGACGTGGGTAAGTAGCAGAACAGCAGAGAGCCGGAGAAGAGACCGGGCTAATGAAGTGGAGGGAATGGCCTGAGTGAAAACAGGTGTGCCAACAGGAGGAAGCCAGCCACACCACCCTGCCCCACACAAGCTCTGCAAGAGAACAGAAAGGGGAGGGGGAAGAGAGAGAACAAAAAGAGAAGCACAACAACAAAGACATAATAAACCAAACCATAACAGTATCTGTGGTCTGGTGTGGGGGAGACAGACTTGCGGGAGCCGACATGATCTCAATCTGC